TAGAAACACACATGAATCGGGCGCACACGAAGATTACACACACGAAGCGGATACACACGAAGAGGACCGCGTCGAGAGTGCGGAGTCTACCATCCCTGTCAAGGAGGCCGACTGATCCGGTTGACCTGCAGCTGGAAAGGCCACCATTTGCATACAACGAACCCGATGCAGTTTCTGGGCCGTCATGGGCTCCAGCTGAGGTCCAAGGAGGTGACCCACCCAGCCCAGCATCTCCCGCAGTCCGGCTTGTCTCACCGCGGGAGTTTCAGGGATATCTGAAAGTGAGTTCTTTTTGTCCCAATTTCTTCCTTAAACCGATAAAGCAGATATAATAAAGTAACATTAAATAGACCCCAGATCACCCATACGATCTTTAAGAAAACATTGTTCATTATTGAACTGTCATGTTTTCGTGATCATAAATTTCCATTCATTTTCATCTTACCTACCCTACCTACCATGCCCGTTAATTATGTTGTAATTCCGTCAAAATATAGTTTTTTAATGCATAATTTTGTATCCCAAAGGGTCCTCCAGTGAGCCATGTTGTCCACTGCCTATGCCAATGTTTTATAATCCTATCCATACCCTTCCTGGTCCTCCATCTTTTAAGGCAGGACCCAAAGTGAAGCCGAGTCGTCGAGGGCGGAAAACAGGAAAGACCATGATAGCTACGAGTACACTAGATCTGCCAAGAAAAAAAAAAGGAAGAGGAGAAGACCCGAAAGTCGCGAGCCAAACACGAGCGTGTGTCAAAGCGGCTGTTTGATGCCAAGAGCAACACTGCTAACACGAAAGGTAAGAAGAGAAAGGTGGGAGGTGCAAAGGACTTGCCAAAGACTGACGATAAGGCGTCGCGTCTGCACTGTGGGATGCAGTAAAGGTTCAGCTGTGAATCGTGGATCCAGTGTACAACATGCAAAAAGTGGGCGTGCTTGCCGTGTACCGACACAACAACCTGGCGAACACAGTTTGTATGTGGTGTCTGCCGAGACTGATGATCCGCTCATCCGCTGTGATCCGATGTGATCCGCTGTGTCGCGGGTATCGCATTGGCTGTGCGGATTTAACGTGGTTAGTACGACGTGTAGGAAGTTTTGTGACCGTTTACGTTAAATGGATGCCTAGGATAGATACCGATATTTTTAGGCATGTGATCCGCTGTGTTGCCATCAACGCATTGCCTGTGCAGACTCAACGTGAGTAGCACGATGTTCAGGAAGTTTCGTGACAGTTGCTTTGCCTGTTACTGTGACTGCCGACATTACTACTAGCCGGATCTTATGTTAGAAATACCTTTCCGTTGTTGGGGTCCTTCTGCCCAAAACATAATGGTTATTTGGAGGTGGAAAATATATCCTGAATTCACGTTCTAAAATGTTGTGTCTCAGTTTTAACACGAGATAAATGGGTCTGATATGCTACCATTTTCAGCGGAAGGAAACGTTGCCACGACCATTGACAGGCTCCTGAACGCAAGTAGATGGCAATGCGGTGCACTCATTTTACCATTTACAATTTAGTTATAGAACATGTACTCAAGTAGAAATTGTGTCCCAATGCTCCTTAGTATGTCCCAATTCATATTCACGTCTGTCTCGATTCTCCTGCGTGCGTCCCGATTCTACTGTAAATGAAGGTTTTTGTTTTTGCTCCACGCGAGTCGCATCCTACCACAAAGTGAAACTTACTTATTAGTATGATGTAAATAAATATCCAATTTATTAATTAGTATGGTGCAATGTTACCTGGCTTTCGTATTTTTGCTGCAGTGACTCATCAAAGTTGAAGTTGCAAAAGTGTCCCAATTCTCCCGCCTCTCCCCCCTATATACTCATTTTTTAGAACTCACTCATTTCCTACAAATTATTTGATATGCTGTAATTTTGAGGCTAAGTGTTTCGGAACAACGAAAAGCAAAATAAACTTGAGTTGGCTGCTAACAACCATCAAAACCAAGCATGGACTTGATTCCTTGTTTATATATATATACGGCTACCCAGCTGGGTGATGTCATCAGCTGACGACTGATGAGTAATGCATAATTTTTCCTTTGTTATAAAGAAGTATAACATACCCAAGCATTCAAAATATCTTAAAAACATGATGCACTAGCATAACAAGTGTGACATGCTCAATAGCCAATGGAAATGACACGCACGACGTCGGCGGATTTCAAATTGCGTTCGGCAATCACGCGTAAAAATTTGTCGGCGCATATTCAACTGCTTTTCCAAGGCGAAGGCACCAAGGCCAATAGGGACGGAACCTGAGCGATCATGGGTGCCGCAGGAGGCTGACAGAGTGGCTCCCGTCAACAAGAATAGGGCACTTAGAGCAACCAAAAAGAACTCAAGACTAGCGTGATGGGCTCATGAATGACCGGTAGTGCCTCGGCAGGCTGACATATAAAGCTCCGGCCAGAGCACAGAACCTCCCGAGCGAAGGGGAATCATCCAAGGCCATGACTTAATAACCCCTGTGCGATTAAGTGTGCGCGGCGGGTTAACAACACGAGCCTCGATAGGAGTGAAGAGTCCTCCGCAAATGAGACCAAAGGGAGAGAGAGCCCTCGATCAAAGTAGATGGCCCCTGAGCATCGAGTGTCTCCGCGCCATACCTTATAAAAGCTCTAGCAACAGCACAAGGCCCTCCAAGCAAATAGGAAGAGCCCCAGGCTCAAATGAAGGGCCCCTGAGCAACTGAGTGCACCATAGCATAAGGGGCCTGGAAAAAGCGTAAAGAGCCTTTCGGGCAGTCTTAGCAGAGGAAAAGATTACCCCGGCAAATAGACATATAGGATCAGGAAACCAACAGCGTAATAAGTCCCAAAATTTCCCCCAAAAAACACGTTCTCAATCAGCAAAAAATGAACTTGATCTACTCATGAACTCTTTTTATCTTTGGTAACAATTGTTTTTAGTCGTCTGCAGGTGCAAAGGCTTCCAATTTTGTTGTGTTTGTTGTAAGAAAACCGCATCCGTTCGGCCAGTTATGGTCCCCTTTGGAGCCTTTAGGTCCCCTCGGCATGGTCCATGGGGCATGGTGCCGTGCCTCCCCTTCCCCTCTGCACCCGCCTCTGGCCCGAGCAGCTTAATAGATGGGACTCGCCAAGAACATAGGGCCATCCATTCAAAAATGTATCAATTCATTCATCAGAAGGGGACCCACGAGAGAGTAGGGCTCTTCAGCTGAATGGAAAGCACCGAAGGCCACATGTAAATGGCCTCAGAATAGTGGAATGTGCCCGAGCAGCTTATCAGAAGACGCCCGACAAGGGCGTAGGACCCTCTATTGAAATCAGAAATAGCCATAACCCGGTGCGGGAGGCCCCCGAAAATTGGAATATACCCGAGCAGATTGTCAGGTGGCGCAGACAGGAGTGTAGGGCACTAAATTCAAACACCAAGACCCAATATATAGGGCCTGACCAGTTCAGTGCGGCCGAAACGGCGAACAGATGGAGTCCTCGACAAGTGCGTAGGGCCCTCCATTCAGATAGGAAGTACCCATGACACAATGTGGAAGGCCCCGGATATTCGAGTGTGCCCGAGCAGGTCAACAGATGGGGCCCCGGCAAGAGTGTAGGGCCTTCCGTTCAAATATGAAATACCCACGACACGATGCAAAGGGCCCTGAATGATCGAGCGCGCCAGAGCAGGTTAACAGATAGGGTCCCCGAAAAGCGGAGGGCGCTTTGTTTAAAGAAGGAAGTGCACAAAACCAGATGTAGGGGTCCCCCCACGATCGAATAGGCCCGAGCATCTTATCCGAAGGGGCCCGACAGGAGCGTAATACCCTCCATTTATATACGAAATACCCCAAAAACCGGTGCGGAGGGCCCCCGAAAGATGGAGTATATCCGAACGGGTTACCAGATGACTCTGATGCGAGCAGAGCGTCCTAAATTCAAACATCAAGAACCAATGTGCTGGGCCCCCCAAGCAATCCAGTGTGGCCGAGGAGGCGAACAGAAGGGGCCCCGACAAGTGCGTAGGGTCCCATTCAAATAGCACGTGCCCAAGGCCCAAGGTAGAGGGGCCCCGAACGATCGAATGTACCCGAGCAGGTTATCAGATAGGCCCCCCACAAGAGCGTAGGGTCCCCACTCAGAGAAGCAGTACCCAAGACCCAATGGGGAGGGTCCCCGGACGACTGAGTGTGTCCAAGCAGGCCATCACATGGGCCTCCGACGAGAGTGTAGGGCCCTAAGCAAGAGACAGAGAACTGGAAACGCCCTTGACCAATGAAAAGGGCCTATGAGCATATCGTAAGTGTGTCGGTAGGGTAACCGAGACCCACGTGAAGGGCCCCTGAGCAACCGAGAATACCCCGGCAGGTTAACATATGAGGTCCCGGCTATGGCCGCAGAGCCTTTCTGGTGAATGAAAAAAATCCATGAAAGAGCCCATGGTTGAAAAGAGTGCCCCGGCACGCTAACAGGAAGGACCCCAACAACAGTGCAGAGCTCTCGCAGCAAATGCAAATAAATGAAGGACAACGTGGAATGCTACATAATGATCGTAATGATTTTACAAGTAGACATGTAGATCCCCAGAAACAGCATGGGGGCCGCTAGACATGTAATGGGGCTTGAAATTTCCGGTTCACAACCTCTCCAATCATTGAATAATTTTTTAACTTCTCATAGGCTGTTCACTTAAGCTTCTAACCGTTCCTGGCCGCCTGGAAGTCTAAAGATAACCAGTTTTGTTACCTTTTGTGTTAAAACACTGCGCCTTTTCGGCCGGGTATGGGCCCCCTCAGAGCCAAGTGGTGCAAGGGGCCATGACCCCGTGCACTACCTCTTTTGGATCCGTCCCTGGGTTTGAAGCCTCACTGAATAATTATTTTGTTAATTATGAAAAGGCCGTCAATTTTATCATGACGTCATTACTTCCAAACTTCGACAGCGAACGTATTTCATAAGGCGTCGAGCTTGAACGGCGCACTTTGCTGCGCACCACGTTTGTCGCTGCCGCCTGTTGCAGACGCGAGATGGATGCTGAGTGGTGTGGGTGGGTGTGGTGGTGCTCTTGAGGGAGTCCGGTTTATTTGATCCCTCGTGGTATAAATGGACCGCCGGAGCTCTCCCTAGAGACTTTTTGGTGTGCAGTGGGAAGGAAAAGTACGTGGCACGATGCGGGAGTTCAAGGTCGTCGTTTTGGGCTCCGGCGGTGTCGGGAAGAGTGCCCTAACCGTCCAGTTTGTTTCCGGACATTTCATGGAGAAGTATGATCCTACAATTGAAGATTTCTACAGAAAGGAAATAGAGGTTGATGGCTCTCCATGTGTTCTTGAAATCTTGGACACGGCTGGCACCGAACAGTTTGCCAGCATGCGTGACTTGTACATTAAAAATGGTCAGGGCTTCCTTGTTGTCTACAGCCTCACGAACCACCAGACCTTTCAAGATATCAAGAACATGAAGGAACAGATATCGAGAGTCAAAGGAACAGACAGAGTGCCTATCATGCTTGTTGGAAACAAGATAGACCTGGAGCACCAGCGTGAGGTGTCAACAGTGGAAGGAATGGCCCTCGCTCAGATGTGGAGTGGTCCGTTTCTAGAGACTAGTGCCAAAAGTAAAACCAATGTAAATCAAGTCTTCACGGAGATAGTGAGAGAAATGAATGACAGCCCAGAAATTGAAAGTGGGACCAACTGTTGCTGCACCATCTTGTAGCACTGCGGAACCAGCATGTCCATGGGCCCAGGGACTTCGCAAATCATGGTGAGTTGCCTAATTGTTCACATTGCTGTTCAAAATGCAGGAGTGGATTCAGAGTGTGTTTGGGGTGGGTAACCCTCGCTTGGTATGGTCAAAATCAAATAGGTGTCCAGTGTTGTTCTAAAAGATGGTCACATTCTGCTTCCTCTTATTTCAGTGATTATCATTGTATAACTATTAAGACTTTCTTGCAGGTCCACAAATGTATTTTTCTGCTAAACTTGGACTGTTGGGGAAGGATGCCACAGCTACTCTACCTTGATCTACCCTTGTCAGAATGGATGTAGTGTATCATGGTTAGCTTATTTGATTATTAAAATTATTGGAGCAAAGAAGATCACTGACTGACGTCAGGCAGACTGAATGGTTCTGACCTGAAATGAAAAGTTCTGTAACATTCTGAGCTGTTCCAAATCAAATACATTTTTATTGTACTAGGTTTTAACATGTGGTCACATTTCCATCAGCAAATTCAGCATTCCCTACCAGTGCTCTCTGGCTTTAATGCTCATAGAATGCCACATAAGTGTAGATACATTGCTTAATATTCTTTCATAATAAAACATTGTACTATATCAGTGGTACATCTGAATAAAGGTGACATGTCAAAATGAGTGAGAGTTGATTTTCAAAAACATGACATCCGCAGCATGTTCTCCATTGTTGTCTTGACTTGATGGGCATATCAATGCAGGCTGGTGTACATTACACAATGATGGCACATGTATTTCATTTGTACTTTTGCAGCAGTCTGCTGTGCTCCTTGCATGCCCCGTGGGTGGCCACCTAGGTGTGTCCTGTCCAGTGTCGGCAGAATGGACCGGTCAGTTTATGTTCTGAGCCGCCCACATATCTATTTCATCAGCACGCTGTCAGCGGCCAGGGTGGCACCATGTCATGCAGCTCCATACAGCTCCCTGTGGCTCTTGTGTGGTTCGGATTTGGCAGCGGGAGGACAAACCTCTGCCATCGCTGCAGTATGCATGCTCAGTCGGTGCCAGGCTGGTCCTCTGTCTCTCGGCGGCGATGTGTTGCCGTCGTCCAGCATCGGACCGCCTCCCAGCTGCGTTTGACGGACGCTCCCGCTCGTCGTCCTCGTTCGTTTCCCGGCGCCTTCGTTCGCTTCTCTCCGGCGGCCGGTTCCCAGGTCGCGACGCGACGCCGTCCGCCGCCCCTCCCCCTCCCCCCCAAACGGAACCCCAATTACTCGGGCGCGTCGCCTGCTCCCCGCCGCGCACTCGGTACCCCGGGCGTGTACCGCGCTGCGAGACCCTCGCCGCGGCCGGCGCCGCCCCGCTGTTTGCTGCCGAACGCCGGCGGCTCGGGTGGCGGCCGGCGGCGTCCGGCAGCGGGCCCGGCGCCGCCGGCGACCGCCGCGCGAGGGTGCGCGGTGACAAACAGCGCCGGCGCCGGGCGGTGCTGAGTGGCCGCTCCCCGGCGCGCAGGAGGCGTGCCGGGCCGGACCGGGGACGATCACCCCTCGCCGCCGCTGCCGGGACGTACCGGCGGGTGTCGGTGGTTCGGCCCGGCCGGACGGGCGCGTCGCCAGACCCCCGTGCAGTGTGCCGCCGCTCCGGCGGTGGTGCGGCGCGACGGGCCTGCCTCGCCCGCCCAGGACGCTCGCGCGAGGAGTCGACCGCGGCAGCCGCTGCAGCGCCGCGGTCGGCGCGTCCGGCGCCGGACTGGTCTGACCTGTTCCCCCCGCCCTCGAGGCTATAATTAGGCTGCCATGCACCGATCGGCGGAGGACGGCCTCGCCGCGATGCAGGACGCGCGGCCAGCTGGGCGACCGCCGCCCGTCGCTGTAGCGTTCACTCAGCGCGGGAACGCGGTACACCCCGGCCGGCGCCTCGAGCCCGGCGCTCAGTGTGTGGGCGCGTCGGCGACACGTGTGGCCGATTACAGGCTCGGCGTACGGACGTCATCGGCTGGCGCTTGTGCTGGCAGGCGCCGACGGCCGGCCGGGGCCCACTCCGCGGTGCTGCGCGGCTCTGCCGTCGGCGGGAGCGCGGAGGGCGGGCCCCCGGCCGGCGGGACCCACTCCGCCGTGCCGCGCGGCTCTGCTGTCGGCGGGAGCGCGGAGGGCGGGCCCGCCGGCCGGCGGGGCCCACTCCGCCGTGCCGCGCGGCTCTGCTGTCGGCGGGAGCGCGGAGGGCGGGCCTGCCGGCCGGCGGGGCCCGCTCCGCGTGCCGCGCGGCTCTGCTGTCGGCGGGAGCGCGGAGGGCGGGCCTGCCGGCCGGCGGGCAGCGGCCGCCGGTCCGCCCGGGCTAGGCCGGATGGCCGGCCCCGCACGGCCAGTCTGATTACGTTTGACTTCAGCCGAGCTTTGCTGCTTTCCCCGACCGCGTAAGCCGCGCGGTATTCCTGACTTGTTTTGGGGGCAGCGGCAGCTTATGGCCGTGTAATCGTCTCCACATGATAATGCTTTGTTTGGCCGCCGATGATCAGCATCGGCCATCTCTCAAGACGCTCATCAGACAAGCGTAATGGGTGTTGTGGAACACCTCATGCGCTTGGTTAGCGGTGAATCAGGATCGATGGGACAGATAAATGAGCAGCCCGCCAAATGGGACGGATTGCTGTCAACAAAACATATTCCAGTTTCGTGTTTTGTCTCCGAAAACTATGCCTTTCGGGCATGCGTTTGGTTTTATCTGGCGGTGTGCCCAACACTTGAACATGCCACTTCTGGCTAGACACAAGGTACAAGATCATCGTGTTGAAGGTCGCCTAGATGTAATGTTACCGGTGTAGCCATTTTTAATAAGTTACCTCATTAGCCTGACGAACTGCCGGGATGTTGGTGTGGTCGTAGGGTGACTGTCCCTTGTCCTGCCACTTAGCCACCTTTCCCCTGAACGGCATCGTAAAATGTAATGCTACTCCGGCGCATAGATAACCGTGCTGCCGGTGGTCTCTGCGCCAGAAGACCCGCCCGGCCCGTGTGCACGCGTTTTTCTGGCCCGGCTGCCCCTCCCTCGCCGCGGCGGCCCTGGCCACGGCCCGCTCTGGGACAAAAACGTCGGCGCCCCCTCGTTGCCCGCTGCCGCGGAATTCGGGCGCGAACCGCCGGTCCGGTGGTAATTGGCGGCCGCTTCATAAATTTTCGTCGGCCGACCGGTGTCGCGCCGCTAGAAGGTCGGGCCGGCGGCGCGCTGGCGGCGCGAGGGTGCAGTGGCGCCGCCGGCACCGGTCGCGCCGCAGGTCAGGGGTCGGCCGAACCGGGTGCAGAGCGGCGCAGGCCGGCCGGATGGTGGCGACGCTTTGCTTCTGTCCTGCGGCGGCCGCGCTGTTCAGTCCTCCACGCGCCTCCTGCTGGGGGAGCGGGTCCCGCGCGCCGTGGCCTCGGGTCTCGCGACACGGACTGAACCATGCGTCCGTCGCTCACCGGCGTCCACGTTGAGAGTTCACCTGTAGTTCCCCAGAGGCGCGCGTCCGCCCGCCGCCGTCCGTCCGCCCGCCGCCGTCCGTCCGCCCGGCGCCGTTCGTCCGCCCGGCGCCGTTCGTCCACCCGCCGCCATTCGTCCGCCCGCCGTCATTCGTCCGCCCGTCGCCATTCGTCCGCCCGCCGCCGTTCGTCCGCCCGCCGCCATCCGTCCGCCCGCCGCCATTCGTCCGCCCGCCGCCATTCGTCCGCCCGCCCGTTTGTCGGCCCGTCCGGGTGGCGGGCGCGGCCAGGTCGGCAGCGACGAGTCGGTTGTTATCCAAAGCCGCTCTCGTTATACGGCCGTGTTTGTTATGCGGCCGCCTGTCGTGCCGCCGCCAGCGGGACCCGGTCACGTTAGCGCCGCGCGCTTCCGCTCCTCTACGTGACGTCACCGGCAGGGTGACGTCAGCGCTGCGTGGCGGCGGGGAGTTGGGAGCGGAGCTGACGTCGGGGACGGGAGGTCACCGCCGACTGGTGACTGACTGGGGTGGGGAGAGCGGTGGGTGGGTGTGATGGGTCCGCACCTCTCACAAAATGCCAAAGGTGGCACTGCTACATTTCAAGACTCTTGGCGGATTTATCCGTCTCCCCGCCTACCGCCCCCGTTGCCGCCGCGTCTGGTTCCGGGCGTACCGGTGGTCCGGGAGGTCTGTCGCTGGTGAGAGAGCTCTAGCCGACACGGATGCCACGGGGTGGAGATGCTCCCTCCAGAGATGTTTTCGATGGTGGAATGATTGCGATCTTCGCTTAATGATGGCACCGGGCCATAATATTTCATTGGAGCTTTAGATCGCGTTTGAGCTTCAGTTTTAAAGTGATGCTGTTACAAGTTGGAGATTAGTTTCATGAGGCCACCGGGAAGAAACGGTTCGGTGTTGATGGGGCTGCCTGGTGATAAATGTGATGGGATTATTGGGAGGGGAAAACGTTCGACGGAGATTTAATGACGTGCTCCACTCGGTGTGTGTGCTGCACATTTTGATGTCGGGGTAGCTTGGAAGAGCCGTTCCTCCCTGTGTTCTCATTTCCTAAGAATAAAGTATAAAAGATTTTTCCTCGTCTTTCGGTGTGCAGGTCATCAATCATACGGAGCTTTTTTTAGTTACTGCACTTAGGCGAAGCGTGCGCTTTGTTGAGCTGGGCTATATATCATAGCGGCTGGCCCGGATGCGTAGCGTTGCTATATTAATAATGTCCCAGGCTGGTGCCTGATTAATGCTCAGATATTCTCATCATGTTATGTTGCTCACGGTAACTGGCGTCTCCTAACACTATCCCCCGATGCATCTGTTGTTGATCAAAGCTTTTCCCCAGTCCCCAAGCCCCTCATCGCACCGGATGGTCAGGTGGTCTGCCTGCCTCACCTGCGCGCGCCGGGCCCTTGTCGCGCGCTGCCCTTCCTAACGTCGCTTTGATACAGCTGAAAAGGGGATCCTTCCCAATTACCGATGGGATTTGGCCGGGACTGACGGGCCAGGAGCCAGGCCAGACCAGACCAGACCAGACCAGGTCAGGTCAGAGCGAGCAGCGGCAGCAGCCCAGCCAGAGGTGACGGCTGCTGCCGCCGCCCATCCAGTCGCCGCCGCCGGTTTTACCGGACTGCAGACCTCCGCCTCACCCCGGCGCGGACGGCCTGCGGCGGGCAGACGGCGCCCGGCGTCGGGACCGGTCGGCCGTCGCGAGTCGGACGCGATCGCCGCCGCCCCGCCGTGGCCCCTCGGGCTCCCAGCGCCGCCATGGAACCGGTGGGTTTGTGAACGCGCGCCGTGACCGCGCCGGTGTTTTGCCGAACGACGCCGCCCATCACGCGTGAGCAGCCGTGTGCCGGTCAGTTGCAGATGCCGATAGCAGCGGCGCGTTCCCGCCGGGAGGCACGCCAGGCGCGCCGGTCCGTCCGCTTGCTTGTTTGTTTATTGCTGATAAGGGCGATGATTCATGATGGATAAGTAGCGTTGTGGCATCCCGGCCGGTGCGACCGTGCAACCTGTCAATAAGGCGCCTGTCCCCTGGTGGGGGGGGGGGGGGACGACAAAGACACGCGGCCGGCACAGGGCGCGCCGCTCGCGGTCAGAGCTGCGGTGGAGT